AAATTTATTCAGTTCTTGATTATTTTATATTTTCCTTATAAAAGTATTAATAATTGTGCTGATTATACCACAGTGAAAGTACAACGGAAAATTACTGATAGCCCACCACCACAGCAACTCTATTTTTTAATAATACTCTCCATCAAACTTTTACACAAAGTTATCCTGAATTTAAAATTCTATAAACAGCTTTTTTTTTCTTCACATCAGATATTAAGAATTTAAAAATGTCATTTAGAACTCTTTATAAACTTCACTGAAGCCAGGCTCAGTGGCTCATGCCTATAATGCCAGCACTTTGGGAGACCGAGGCAGCGGGATCACTGGAGCCCAGGAGTTTGAGACCAGCCTGGGCAACATAGTAAGACCCTGTCTCTACAAAAAATAAGTAAAATTAGCTGGGCATGGAGGTTGCATGCCTCTAGTCCCAGCTACTCAAGAGGCTGAGGCAAAGTCTAGGAGTTTGAGGCTGCAGGCTGCAGTGAGCTATGATCACGCCATGCACTCCAGCCTGGGCAACAGAGCAAGGGTCTGTCTCAAACAAAACAAAACAAAACAAAACAAAACACAAAACCCCTTCATTTGAAATGGTATATGGATGGCTGAAATTCTTAATGACAGAGCACTTCAAAAGCTTCATAATATTAACTGCATGAACAAATATGTACACAATGCTTTCCATGTACTGGATGCTATTCTAGATTTTGAGGACACAGAAAGAAACAAAGACTAGTGTCTCCGTCCCTTTGGGCTACTATAACAAAATACTATAAACTTGATAGCTTATAAACAACAAAAATTAATTTATTAATTTCTCACAGTTCTGGGGGGAGCTGGGAAGTCAGAGATCAAGAAATCAAGAGGCTAGGAGCCTGGTGAGGACTCCTTTCCCTGCTCATAGATGGCTGTCTTTTTGCTGTGTCCTCACATGGTAGGAGAAGCAGGGCAGCTCCCTGGGGCCTCTCTTATAGGGCACTAGTCTCATTCACAAGAGCTCTGCCTTCATGAACTAATCACTTTCCAAAGGCCCCAACTCCTAATACCATCGCCTTTGGGGTTAGGAATTATACATATAAATTTGGGGGAAACACAAATATTTAGAAGTCTATATTATACTGGGGAGAATCAGACAAGGAAAAAATAAACAAATCTGGGCAAGATGGTGCACACCTGTAGTCCCAGCTATTCAGGAGGCTGAGGCTGGAGGAGATCTTGGTTCCAGGAGTTCAACACCAGCCTGGGCAACATAGTGAGACCCTGTCTCTAAATATTTTTTTAAAACCAAAATAATATAATTTCAGATAGTGATCCTTGTTTTGAAGAAAGAAAAATAGTCATGGGATTCTAATATCTCAAGAGGGAGCTGGTTAAAAGGGGAGGATGTGCTCAGGGAGATGTCCATCTCCAAGTAGGTAATGTTTGATCTGAGATTTGAACGATAAGCAGGAATTGGTCATATGAAACTTCCAAGCATATGTAAATATGAGTAAGAATAATGCTATCTTCCTGTAAATTCTTAATTACCTGGAACAGATATCTCCATGAAGGTATAGGCAAAGAGTAAGCAAGCCTTCAAAATTCCCCTTGTTCACCAGTCCTCATGTGGTTTCTGTCAAGGCATACCTCATTCTTAATTCACTATTTCTTCAAAAGACACTTAGAAGCCAATGCCTTTGTGACATCACTCACCAATCACAGTTAGAACTGATATGACAAAATTCCTCCCAAAGGAAGGAATATAATTAGAATATATAACAAACCAAAGATGTAATTAGAATATATAACATAATCTTATTATGATATGTGCTGCCTTTTATTTTTACCATAAACTTTTCCCATCAATTTACCATGATTCTTGACATTTCAAATCTGTGTTGCTGTTATTGTTGTTTGTGATCATTTGTGGAGCTGAAATACGTTCAAGTTTGTACAAGTGGTTTAGTGCTGTGGTTAAGATAACCACTTATCTACTTGTGGCTGTGGATAGGTGTCAATGGTAAGATCTTACCAAAGTTAGTTATGCCAGTCTCAGTTTCCTTATCAAAATAATAATATTGTTAGTTTTAAAAGAGATAATAGAGAACTCAGTTTATAGCCTGACACTCAACAAGCCTTCAATAAATAGGCAGCAAGCAAGAGAAAGAGAGAGAGAGAAACTGGACACACACACACGCACACACATACATACACACATACCCATCCCCAATTTGAGATTATTTTAAATATTTAAATATGTATGAAGATATTAGTAATAGTGACAATAAAGTTTAATTTGGTTATGCCATATTACTGTTTGAATGACCTCCTGAAACTCTTGCTTAGAAGATGGCATGTGGTCATCTAAGAAGGGCTATCCATCAATTTTTACTTGGATGAATTACTTGACATGGGATTGGGGAAACCTGAAATCCTGAACTCCACTAACTCTTGGTCACAGACTTCTTGCCATGTTCTCAGCACAATCATGGTGAGGCATGAAAAAGAAATGCTAGAAGCCCTCTCTCAATTCTCCTCTATGTTTCCTTCAGTTCCCAATGTCCTCATCTGGTGACTTCCTTCAGACTAACACAAATATTTTCAGGGAAAACCATCTTGAGATATAGCACACTGCATTTGGAATAGAATGCCAAAGGACAGTGGGGGAACTGAGCCCTGCACCCAAGGAAGGAAGGAAGAGAAGGCAGAAAGACATGCATAAGGTCACCTTACTCTTAGGTGTCACCTTCACATTGTCCTTCTTGGCAACCCAGCACCTCTCCACTGATGTTACCTCAGAGCAGAAGAAACGGGGCTCATCAGGTGGGCTTGAGCCAGAAAGCCTGTTTCTCATCAGATATATATGTGTGTAAGAATCATGCTGTTCAAAGGGTTCCATGGCTAAAACCAAAGTTTGAAAAACCAATGAGCCAGGAAATGTGAAGGCCCTTTGTAAACTGTAGTGTGATTTATTAATACTAGTGCTAGTTTTTAGTGTTGTTCCAGATGTTTCTTGGTTCCTGTGAAAATGTAAATACTTATTTTATTGGGAAGTGGCTTAGTTAGACAATAACTCTCAAGAAAAGGCATTGTTTCAAGTCAAAGGTGCATTTTTGTTTTTATCATGATGTGCAATAAGCACATTTAAAATGTTGCTCCTAAAGGGATTCACTTAGTGGAGGGAACAGGAGCAGCTGACTAAACTTGTCCATCACAAATTGAATTCACACAGGGTCAGCCCAGTCAGTCATCTTTTACAGACAAGAAATTCACCAGACTTCCTGGTCGTTATGAGGATATTCAGGGAAATGTTCCCTGCCCTCTTTTGTTGGAAGCAAGGGGCCCAAGGATCTCAATTCAAGTACTATAACCTGGATGTATAATGCCCACTTATAGCCAAACACCAAAGGAATATGGAAAAATGATCACTAACAACAAGAATGCAACTTAACTCAATGTACCTTATTTATCTTATAAAAGGAGCAAATAACTACAAAATATGTTATGAGACTTAAGTAAATAATAGTAGTAAAGACACATAAAATTTATTATGTGCCAGGCATTGGTTCAAGTACTTTACACACATTAGTTCATTTATTCTTTGCAACAACCCCATGGGCTTAGCCCCATGGTTATCTCCTTTCACAGTTGTGGCCTGAGAGATTAAGTCACTGCCAAGGTCAATGTTAGAGCTAGGATTCAAACCCAGGCAATCCTGGCTCTACAGATTACCACACAATGTTTTACTTTTTAGTTTCCCTAAAATAAGGAAAAAGAGAATACATTTTCATATAAATCCTGCCAATTTCAAGTATGATTTTTGTGCTGAGTGTGTCCTTCTATTGCTCTTGTGGATCCACACCCCACACTTTTCTACTTTGGTCTGTGCCCTAGAGCCTGTATGGATTCCATCAGTGGGCTTCCAGATGGGTTTGCCACTACCTGGAGATGGGAGGTGTAGGGCAGAGTGAAGTTAGAGAATTTACTGTCCTGGTTCCTTCCAGTCAGGTCACTACTGGCTGGCTGCATCCCTCTGAAAGCTGCAGCTCCTGTCAAAAGACACACTCCACTCTAGATTCAGGTAGTTCTCCCTCCCTCTGCCCTTAAAGATTTAGATAACAATAGCTCTCTACCATTACACCCACTGGGGCATTGACCTCCATCTATTGTTTTCCTTAAAATCTGACCACATCTTTGTAAATAGTCCTTTCATTAAACTTCTCAATTCACCATTCTAAGAGTCTGAGAAGAACATTAATTTCTCAATCCAGTTTGCATATGACTGGACCAAAAATACAGCATAACCTTCACAATCCCCACCTTCCGCCCTCTGCATAACCAAGCCCAGGAAATAAATTCTACAGCTGTCAATGAGGAGTTCCATTACTTCCACAATGAGCCTATGCGAAAATTATTTTTCAATTTTCTCAGTTTCTATAAAAGGCCAGGAATTGAGGTTTACAAGTAGAATAGTATTTTTATTCTAATAATAGTCATTGGGTCTAATAAAGCACCATAGGTGTCAAGCAGCAGGGCAGCAACAGAGCTACTCATGTTGGGTGTTGGTTTCTCTGAGTTGAATGGCCTTGCTGAAGCCTTGGCTCATATGCCATGAATCAGACACTTAGCCTAATTAAAAACAAAATATCTCAGCTATGCAGCTGACAATACTAGACAGTTTATTTCCTGGAACCAGGTAGTAAATTATACCCAGGAAATGTAATCCCATGGTGCAGAGAGACACCAGGTGCATCCTTGTATTCCCTTCAATCAAATTAGCCATTCACCAGAAACAATGCATTCTTATGAGTATGTCTTGGCCTTAAACAAAGACAGTGGGCAGCTGAACTGACCTTAACATCTCTTCTTCAAAACATCTTAAGGTGCTCTTGGCATTTACTTTAGCAGCCCACTCAGTGAAGAGAATGGAGGCTGTTCCTATTGAAAGGGATCTAAGAACAACACCCTGAGGCATAATTAAAAATAAAAAATTATCACCCATCCCTTCCTCTGCCCTAATCCACCTTAATGGTGCTGGTAATGCTTCACTCTTCGATTTTTGGTTTTCATGTAGAAAGTCCATCCTCATAACTACAATTCGGCAGCCTTGGTATCAAAGGATGCAGTTCCTTTAATCATGTCTTGGTAGGAAGTTAAATGTGTATAGAGGTAAACTACAGACAGTTTTTGCTTACAAACCTCATTGTTTCATCATTAAAATGTGTCACAAAGGTCTTAAAACCTATAAGCATATTTTAAGGAATAGATAAAACCGGGAATAGATATAACAAATTGATATCTCCTTGAATTTCAATTTCAGAGAACAATGGCTAGAGATGAATGCATATTACATTGACTTATTTCAGTAATTCACATGTAGAGAATCTCTTGGAGCAATCCTGGATTGGTAGGAAGCAACGACAAAGGTTAAAAGTCAGGAAACCTGGATCTCTCATTCCTATAACTCTGGCATTGTCTTGATGTGTAACAGAGCTGCCTCACTACAAAATGACAATTTTGTCTGGATGAAATGGTTGCAAAGTCATTGACATGGACCAAAGTTATTTATATGCACAAATAGTAATATCAAAAAACCGTATGATACTGTACCTAGCAGAAATCAGTCAGAAATGCACAATATCATCTATGAGCACTAAAAAAATCTCTATGTACACAAACTAAAAAATCTGGATGAAATGGATAAATTTCTGAAAACACACAACCTCCCAAACTTGAATCAGGAAGAAATAGAAACCCTGATCAGATCAATACCTACCAGCAATATTAAGGCACTACTAAAAAATTCTCCCAACAAAAAAGAAAAGGCCCTGGAGCAGAATGATTCACAGCCAAATTCTTAAAGAGCTGACACTTATTGTACAGAAATTATTCCATAACATCAAGTAGGAGGCAATCCTCCCATATGCATACTATGAAGCCAGAAACGTCTAGATATCAAAGCCACATAAGGACACAGCAACAACAAAAACTACAGACCAATATCCCTTATGAATATTGATATCAAAATCCTCAACAAGATACAAGCAAACCAGATTCAGAAGCACATCAAGAAGATAATTCACCATGATTCAGTGGGTTTTATCCCAGGGATACAAGGATATTTCAATATATACAAATGAATAAATGTGATTCATCAGATAAACAAAGGCAAAACCAAAGACCATTGATCATTTTAATAGATGTGGAAAAAGCATTTGATAAAATCCAGCACACTTTCATAATGAAATTCCTCAACAAATTAGGCATAGAAGGAACATACCTCATAATTATAGAAACCGTATATGACAAACCCATAGCCATCATCATACTGAATGGGAAAAAGTTGAAAGCATTCCCACTAAGAACTGGAACAAGACAAGGGTGCCCACTATAACCACTTCTATCCAACATAGTACTGGAAGTCCTAGCCAGAGCAATCAGGCAAGAGAAAAAAATAAAGGACATCCAAATCAGGAAAGAGGAGGTCAAACTATCCCTGTTTGCTGATATAAGGATCTTGTATCTAGAAAACCCTAACTACTTCATCAAAAGACTCTTGAAATTGATAAATTCAGGAAAATCTTCGGTTACAAAATCAACGTACACAAACCAGTAGCATTTCTATATATAAATAATATAAATAACAGTAAAGCTGACAGTCAAATAAAGAAATCAATACCTTTTACAATAGCAATGAAGAAAATAAAATGCATGGGAATATATTTAACCAGGAAGGTGAAATATCTCTATAAGAAGAACTACAAAAACATGAAAGAAATCACAGATAACACAAACAATTATAAAAAGCATTCCATACTCATAGATTGGTAGAATCAACATCATTAAAATTTCTATTCTGCCCAAAGCAATTTATAGATTCAATGTAATTCCCATCAAAATATCAACGTCTTAGTTCACAAGTCTAGACAAAATAATTCTATGCTTCCTTTGGAACAAAAAAAAGGGCCTACATAGTCAAAGCAATTTTTTTTTCTTGATAAAAGATATTCTGTTTTATGGACAGCTTTTTCCCTATACACTTATTTTTTCCCAAGTGCTAGTCAAAGCAATTTTAAGCAAAAAGAAGAAATCTGGAGGCAACACATTACCTGACTTCAAATTTTACTATAAGCCTGTGGTAACCAAAACAGCATGATATTTGTATAAATCTTAAGATATAGACCATTGTAACAGAATGGAGAACCCAGAATGAAAACCATTTATGACCAACTGATATTCAACAAAGGAGATTAAAAACATATACTGGGGAAAGAATGCCCTACTCAATAAATGGTGCTGGAAAAATTAGATAGCCACATGCAGAAGAATGAAACAAAACCCATATCTCTTGCCATATACAAAAATTAATTCAAGATGGATTAAAGATTTAAATGTAAGTCAGGGTACCATAAAAATTCTAGAAGAAAACAAAGGAAAAACTCTTCTAAACATAGGCTTACGCAAAGAATTTATGACTAAGCCCCAAAGGCAAATACAGCAGCAACAAAAATACATAAATGAGATTTAATTATATTAAAAAGCTCCTGCACAGCAAAGGAAACAATTAATAGAGTAAACAGGCAACCTACAAAATGGGAAAAAATATTCGCAAAGTATACATGTGACAAAGTACTAATTTCCAGAAGTCTGCAAAGAAGTAAACAATGGTGAACTAGGCACGTCTTGTATTACCCTGGATGGAGCATGAGGCCAACCTTCAAAGTGAAGTGTCACAAGAATGGAAAAACAAGCACCACATGTACTCACCATCAAATTGATACTAACTGATGAACACTAAGGTGTTCACATGGTAGTAATATTTCACTGGGTGCCACTGGGAGGGGGGTGGCAGTGATGATTACACTTACAACTAATGGTTGCGGACAGAGTGCATTGTATGGGGGAAGGGCATGCTTATAGCCCTGGCTTGGGTGAGGCAAAGGCATTATATGTAACCAAAATGTTTGTACCTCCATAATATTCTGAAATTTAAAAAAAGAAGAAGTCAAATTAAAGAACAAGAAAAAAACAAACAACCTCATCATAAAGTGGGTACAAGACATGAATAGAATTTTTTGGAAAGAAGATAGACAAATGACCAACAGACATCTGAAACAATGTTCAATATCACTAATCATCAGGGAAGTGAAAATTAAAACCACAATGAGATATCATCTTTCCCTTGTCAGTATGGCCATTATTAATAAGTAAAAAACCACTGATGCTGGCATGAATGCAGAGAAAAAGATACGCTTATACACTGTTGGTGGGACTGCAAATTTGTACAACCTGTATGGAAAACAGCATAGGGATTCCTCAAATAGCTAAAAGGAGACCTACCATTCAATCCAGCAATCCTACTACCAGGGCCTACTCAAAGGAAAAGAAAACATTTTATCAAAAAGACACATGCATATACACACACTGTGGAGTACTACTCAGCTATGCATTCAAAGGAATGAAATAATGTCATTTGAAACAACCCTGGATGAAACTTGAGATTAGTATCTCAGGAGTGGAAAAACAAACTCCATATACAAATAGCTGAGAGGGGGGGTGGCTGAGAGGGGAGTGAGTGATAAAAACTTACCTATTGGGTACAATGAACACTGTCCTGGTGGTAGCCACACTGAAAACCCTGACTTCAGCATGATAGAGTATTTCCATGTAACAAAAACTTTTGTACTTCCTTAATATTTTGAAATAAAAACTTAAAAAAATTTTAAAAAGAAAATATCAAGTCAATAAATTGTCCTTAATTCTATTTATCTTATTTATTATCGCATTAAAATATACCCCTATTAACCAAGGAATTTAAGATGCGTCTAGTGTTCGCAAATCTTTAAATGAATTGGTTGTTGAAATAAAATTGTGAATTAGACTTAGGCTTATTGTAATTTCAAAAGTGCTGAATTATTTTACTCTGAGAAACCACTGATAATGTAACTCTAAGAAATATGATGCATTGGATTTTATCTACTACCCATGCATTATGAAAGTATCACTTCTCAGTTATTTCAAAATATTTGATAAATGAAATGAATAAAGAAATGAAAGAAAAAAGACTCCAGAAATTGGTCCTGGCAATATTTTGGCACAAATATATTCTATTTGCTTGAAAAAATACTATTATCCTTATGTTGATTTTTGTGCTCTTCAGATTTTCTTTTTAGTGCCATATAAAACTCCCTCCCTCTGACCCCAAGCCTATATTTCATATAATGGCACACACAGTAATTTCTCAGAAAAATCAAACAAACCATCAAAGTATTACTTGTATGCCAATTATATGCCTGCCTAAAAGGAATAAGACTTAAGCCCAGGCATCAGAAAGATGGGAAATATAATCAGCAAAATTAAAGTAAATTACATGAAACAATTAGGGAAAATTAAGTGCTATGATATATAACAGCATTTCCCAAAATATCTATGAGATGTTAATAGACGTTTCATTAAAAAAAAATAAAAGGCTACCATGGTCAAATAAGTTTGGGAAATATTTTATAAGACATTACCCTCTTGGCAATTCACATTTTCTATTAGCATATTAATAACTGAAAAGTTTTGCAGCAAAGGAAATGACTATGCTTTAGCCCAGAATATCCCAAATTTCTTTGACCATGAAAGCTTTTGAAAATTGTCTCTTTTTAATCTTGAAATTGTCTCTTTTTAATTTTGAAAAATTTCAAAAATGCAGACAAGTGAAGAGAAAAAAAATAAGGCAAATACTTGACACATTATTTTAATAGGCATTAGCATTTTTCCATATTTGCTTCAGATTTTATAACCTAAATAAATATAAGGTATCACGTATGCAATTAAGCTCACCCTGACCTTTTTTTCCCTCCTTTCTTCTCCAGAGGTTACTGATATCCTGAAATTAGTATGTATTTTTCTTGACCATGATTTTATATTTTTGATTCATATGTTTGTGTCCACAAATAATTCATAAAATTTCTCTGAATTTAAATTTACAAAAATATCATTTTTTATATATTATGATTTACTAGTTTTATTCAATATTATGTTTATGAGCTATATCTATGATAGTTCATATGGATTTATTAATAGTTCATCTGTTTAAACTGAGTATTTGTATTCTTCATATAAATAGGACACACAAAATATGAGTTAATTAGTTATTGAGAAATAGTTTTAAAACTGAGAGTGGTAAATTAACTAAAATATTATCTTTATAATATCTAAATAATAATAAAGGAGGATTAGAATCTTTCTTTACCACTTGACTGGCTATGCAAGTTATTTCTTCTATGCTGGACTCATTACCTGCATGTGTAAAAAAAATGACAATACTGTCAACTTTTTTAAATTTATGATTTACCTTTGATTTTGTTGATAATTTTTATTGTGTTTTACAAGATTTTATGTTAATCTATTTTATTTTTTTATTTTATTATTAATTAATTTTATTTCAGAGTATTATGGGGGTGCAAATGTTTTGGTTACATGAATTGCTTTTGTGCTGCTTGAATCAAAGTTGTAAGTGTGCCCAGATAGTGTACACTGTACCTGTTAGGTATGATTTCACCCATCCCCTCCTCCCCATTCCCACCTGCATGATTTTCATTGAGTTTTACTTCCATCTGCACACATGAGTGCTGACTGGTTAGTTCCAATTTAATAGTGAGTACATGTG